GTTATGACCTTTATTTTGAAATCTTTTTCAGGAAGATTGGTTAAATCTATCTCCCCAGGCTCCCTCTCAGGGGTTGTCTGGGTTATTCTGGACTGGATCAAATTCTTCTGCTTTTTCATGGTGATAGAGATAGTCGTGGGCATTTGGCGTGTGTGTCAGCTGGGAGAACAAAATCCCTTCCTGCTTGCTGGTCACCTTGCCCTTCTCCGCTGCTTGTGCTGGTTACCTGCACATGGGGAGCAGCTTCCGATTTTATTTCCTGAGCTGCTGTGGGCAGGGCAGCCATTGGGGCAGCCCAGAGTCCTGTGCAGAGTGGCAGGCACTCCGGGTGTGCTCTCCTGCGAGAACGGTGACCCTTCGCACCCTGTCCCGGCTTTCTCTGTCTGTGCCGCGCAGCCGTGTGCCAGCAGGGCCTCTGAGTCTGGCCCGGGCTGCTCCAGAGGAGGCTCTGGGCGTCTGCTGTGGTGGGGCCGCACTGGAGGGGGAATAGATGGGAGGCTGTTTATCACCGTGAGGGGCATCTGAGCTGCGCTGCCGCCCAGGGATTTAGGGTGCCTGAAATTCCCTGGGATTCCCAGCCAGCTGGGCTGAGTGTGCTGGGCTGATTACATCCAGCTGTGGAGCCCCTGTCCCTTTAAGACTTTCAAAAAGCACTCACTTTTCTTTTGTCCCATGGGCACCGGCTCTGGGGATCCCCGCACAGGTTTTACTGTTCCATTTCCCTAATATCTAGCACACTGTGCACTGTGTGTCTGCGCTCCCATTGCGGATGAGTAGGGCTGGGTATTTAGCAGTCCTGGGCTCCCACTCCCTCCCTGCTCCAGCTCATTTCCTTCCGCCCATGGGCTGTGGTCGGGGGAGCGCTTGGGTCCCGCTGGGCCGCAGCTTGTATCTTACCCACTTCGTGAGGTGCTGAGTTCTCACAGCTGTAAATGTGCCCTGACTATTGTACTGTTTCTTCTGGTTTCTCTTTTAGGAATAGTTGTATTTGTTGTATTTTCAAAAATATATATGGTTTGGGGAGGAGATTTCTGCTGCCCTACTCATGCTGCCATCTTGGCTCCTCTCTCTGTGTTTCTAACTTTTGGCATATTACGTAATATCATTGGAGTCTGGTTTCCTCATTGCTGGAATAGGGGATTGTCTAGCTGGTGTCCAAGAACCCTTCCAGCCTACTAAGAATCTGTTGGTCCTATTGGAAAATAAATTAATAATTTTATTGCTTACTGCTTTACCTAAGTAGATTATTTATGCATTCGGTAGGTACATATGGAGTGCCTACAGTGAGAGTATACAAAGAAATAGTTGTAAAACATAAAGAAGGAAATTCAGGTTATAAGGAGTTATCCCATGCTTTTCTTTTAATTCTGATACAAATTATTTTCAATTTTTTAATAAAAATATTGAATATTCATTATTTTGAAAATACTGTTCTGTACCTGAGTAGCTGGAATAATCTGAACTACAGGTGGAGCAACAGGACATTGGATAGACTGGCTTTTGCTGTGGCTTCTTCCTAGGAGACCACTGAGTGCTTTTCCTGTAGTTCTACCTTTCTTGCTGGCTCACTGGGTCCTGACTCTGATTGCTCTTCTTTTTCTGTACATATTCTTCTCTATGGCTCTTTCTTTTTAAGGTTAGTGCATAAGTAATTTCTCCTACTGTGCTGAAAGAAGGAAATTTTAGTAGAGTATTATTTATTTTTCTGCTTGTTTATTAACACACATTGCTAAGAGTTGCCTGTCATTTTAAAGGTACACTTACATTATTTTGCATTTACATGTAGTATAAAACCACCCTTCAACTTTAGACAGACTCAGTTTTTATTTAAAATCTTGCATTTAAAAAAACTTCATTGGAAAGATAAATTTTTAAATAGTATTTCAAACATGATTGTCACAGTTTGCTTTGCAACTTGAAATTTTCATCAACATTTTGCAATTCTCGCAAATGGCTGTTTGCAATGCAAAGGAACACCTGGGTGTATTTGTCTGAGTTATTCAAATTTATAAATGTTTGTTAGGGTTTTGAGCAGTTATATCAGTGTGACTATAAATGTCTTGGATTAAAAAGTGTTACTGAAGATAGCCTGAAAGTGATAAATGTAAAGATATTTCATATTCATTGAAATAAATTCTATGGTTACCTAATGAGGTGTTTGATCTTTACAACTCCAATAAAGTAGACAGTTTTAAGCAAGTCACCCCACATCTTATCTTATTAGCTAATTATTATGTCCTACCATCTCAGAGCCTTGAAACATCAGAATTTAAGTATTGTGTCTTTGGAATTTGTATCAGAAGCTTCTTGAAAAATACATTTTTTCCGACTATATTTGTATTTCTTCCATACAGTTTTCTTGTGTGTCTCTGTGTTATAATAGAATTAAACAGATTCTGAACACTTGTAAAATGTCTACTCTTGCCATTTTTTATTTCTTAAAATTTTCTTAGTAGTACTCTCGGAATACTTGCTTCTGTTTCATAAAAAACGTAAAGCACCTTCACAACATAAAGGTCAGAATCTACATGGAAAACATTGTGAAATAAAAAAACCAATAGCTTGGCTTAGGGGAGCTTCAGAAGACTGAATATCCTGAAGTTATAGACAACATTTTAATGTCGTGCATGTTGTTTAGGAAAAGACCCCTAGTTTTCCTTGGATCTTTGAGGCCTGATCACAAAGAAGGTTAAGCACCAAGAATCTAGAGGCAGAAAGAAACTTATGTTATGACTATTTGGGATTTGGTTCAGATTACTCAAAGAAAGCTCTACTGTTTGTCCTATCTAAGTAATAAATACTCATAAGTTTTTATTTTTCATAAACCCTTTTAATGGAAGTTAATTACTATTAGTATAAATGTGTTCTTTTTTTTTGGATTATAGAAATGTGGCACTAAATAAAAACTTCATCTCATATAGGTCCATAGATGAGTAAATTTGAATGCAGGGAGGACAAGTATCTTGCTTGATCATGTATCACTAGTGTAATAATAAAAGCAGGCCTGAAGACAGACTTTGTTTGATTTCCTATCCAGTGTTCTTTCAGTTTCAGTAATTATGGTTTAGCTGAAAAATATTTTCTCATTTCAGTAACTCCTGGGGTGAAACGAACTAAAAAATAGGTTTTTATATGTTTCATAGTCCTTGTTGAAATGAATCAAGATTCTACAAAATAAGATGGCTCTACTTTCCTACCTCATATTTAAAGTAGTTAAAGTGTGGTTTGTTAAGGAACTGCTCTGTCATTCTTTATCTTTCATACATATTAGCAGGTTCTAACTACATTTGTCATGGAAATTGGATTTTCATTGTAGTTGTATTTCTTCAAAATTTCAAATCATTTATAGTTTAAATTTTGTCTGTCCATGAAGTAATGTAGTAAAACCCAGTCTATAGAAGGTTTAAGTGTTAAAATACAGTTACTTAACTGCTTTCATGTAGTTAAACTTTGTTCTATGAGACTTGCTTTCATAGAAAGATTTAAAAATGGGAAACTGATGTCAGCACAAGGTGTTCATTTTATGCAGTGTCATTTAAAAACGTGCAAGTTAATTTGGAGAGATATATCTGTGTGTGATTAGCAGTACGAAGGCATCATGGTATTTGTTCTTCTGTTTGTTTCCTTTAAGTAGGAATTTTGCATCCATCCATTCCTTGGAATGTTTTGAAGACCTTTCATAGATGGAGACTCTTCCAGTAAGACACTTCTGTTTCTCATCTTTGCCTTCTTGTGTTCTAGGGCCTCTTCCTGATTTGTTTCTAATTTCCATCTCTAGTTCTTACAGATATTTATTGCACTCAAGTAAATTATCCTTTACCCTCCTATTCCCACTCATCTCACATTTTACATGTTTGGCTTGTATATATTATGGTCTTCTACTCTGATTTCATTGTTTTACATATAGTATAATGTGTCAGAATGCATGCTTATCTAACCATTATATCTGTATCAGTTGCTCCTCATTATTGTACTGCACCTAATTTTATAAGTACCTTACCAAGGGAAGGGATGGAGAATGTTGGAGTGGAATGCAGGTGATTGGAGAGACAAAACAGTGCTAGGGTATTAGTAGGTGCTCAATAAGTATTTATTGAATGAGTGAAGTGATCCAAAACTTACTGACTAGAATTATTTAACTTTCAAAAGGGGTGCTCAGAGAAAACTAGGAATTGGTATGTGACAGTTTAATTCAGTGGAAAGTATTGACAATCATTTATATTCACCCAGGGCTTTGAAAGACACCACTTTGTTAATAAAGGTTTTAATTAGATTTACACATTTTATACTTGTTCTTCCCACCACCACCACCACCACACACACACACACACACACACACACACACACACACACACGTTAGTTACCAAATTCAATTGATTCTTCCTTCTTGTCCCCGTTGTCAATCCTTTACCTCTTAATTGGTTTCTTTATCTTCAGTTTCTTAATCCAACACATTTGAATTAGAGTTAACTTTCTGAAATAAAGTTGACTGTGCCACCTTTAATAGCTAACAGGATGCATAACTCTTTTGTATGCCATATAAAGTTTATACCTTGCCACTCCACAGATTTCATGCCTTCCTCTTCTCTACCTGTAACACTGCTCCTTGTTTTTCTAGCAGACCATGTGACACCATACCTATATAACATTTTATGTACTGTTCCTTATACCTGGAATGCCTTCTTGTCATCAAAATGCTTTTTAAAGTAAAGTTTCAGTTTTTTTCCCTGAACATATTCTCAGTCATTGACTACTGGATTTTAAGTACTCGGCAGTTAAGCCTTTCAAGGCAACATTAAGGCAGATGACCCCATCCAAATAAAAATGACTCAATCCTGTTAGGAAAAGACTGTTTTCTTGGTGCCAAGTACTGTTCCGGGTGCTGAACCACCTTCCCTCCTGGAAGATGCTTACACTGTTCTCTGCTACCAATGTTTTTGAGTAAGCACTTTTTGGCAAGAAAATGACCAATAGTAATTTCAATTTCTAATTATCAACAGGTGAAAGAACTTAAACATTCAAACAAACTAGAAATAACAGACATCAAACTGGAGGCAGCAAGAGCTAAAAGTGAGCTAGAAAGAGAAAGGAATAAGATTCAAAGTGAACTGGATGGTAATATGATTTCCCATGCTTTTTACTATTGTTTTTCACATATACATTCAATTGATTAAAATAGATTAAACTGAATTTTTATTTCTAGTTTTTCAGCTTAAATTTTAATCTTAGTGCACGTATGGATTGTTTTCATTTATATGTTGGATGTTCACTCTGTGATCTAATTTTTTTTTAAAGAATCTTACATTTATGTCATAGTTATTTGATTAATATATAAATTAAGTGGAACTTTACTAATGCAATCCCATACTTCCTGGGTTTGTAATTTTAAGTTTGTTTAGATCATGTGATTATTAGTCCCAGGACGTTTGAAGGCTTAGGAATGTGAGGAAGATAGGTGGGTTCCAGGCCCAATTTTTAAGTTAAATTTTCTTTTTATGTAGACCCTAAGCCATTTTTTAGCTTGGTCAGCCTAGGCTTATTTTTAAGCTCCATTTTGGTTTTAGAATGTCCTTCTCATCAAGATTGTTCAGAATTATATCATTTCTGACTTAAGGGCTTAATAAAGCTGCCTTTGGCCTTTAACTGTCATTGAGTTGGTCTTTAGTTGATCTGACCTCTAGTTTCAGGCAGAGCTTATAATAAATAATTGCTTTCATTATTTCTACTTGATGTTGATTTGACTCTTGGATTTCTACAGTGTGAGCAAGTAAATTTTCTTAGGAACTTACAGAGTTTGGGAGCTTGTTGTGCATCCTTTTTAAATTTTGAGTTAGACATTTGTTTTTAGTTATTCCATCTGCAAAATATCTGCCACTCATTACAGGGAATTTGTGTATTCATTGGTCATAAACTTTAAAGTCTCCAATTTATGTATCTACTAGAAATCTAACAGGTTTGCTAGAATGATAGATTTAGAAGGGCTCTGTGATTTTATTCACTCTGCATCCAGCCAGATTTATGATGGGGCTTAGGTTACCCTTTAAAAGGGAGAAGTAAGTTTTTAAATCTCTTTGGATATCATCCAGGTTGATGTCCCCAGCTCTCAAGATCAAATGAGTAAATGTAGATAACCTTTCATTAAAGTTTTTTTGTGTGTATGGTGAATAAAATAATGACAGAAAAATTAACTGAATGTTTACTGTTACGTTCTTAAAAAGTTTATCAATAAAAAGATCTTTGAGAATATACATCCAGAGAGACTTAAGTTTCTACACTCTTTTATCTTACCAACTTATGAGTGCTTGCTATTGTTGTGATATTTTAATCTTAATAATATTGAATAAGGTACATTTTCTCCTTAAAAAACTACTAGGATTACAGTCAGACAATGAAATTCTCAAATCATCTGTTGAACACCACAAAGCGCTCCTAGTAGAAAAGGATCGTGAATTAATACGTAAAGTACAAGCTGCCAAGGAAGAAGGTTATCAAAAACTTGTAGTATTACAAGATGAAAAGTGAGTACTTAATTACCTTATTTTGTTTGAAATCTCTTTGCAAATGAAGACATTTTGCTGTAATATCATCACTCTTATAGTTCTTATAACAATCATTATCTGTTGTTTTAGGCTAGAACTTGAGAACAGATTAGCAGATTTAGAGAAAATGAAAGTGGAACGTGATGTCTGGAGGCAATCTGAAAAGGATCAGTGTGAAGAGAAGTTGCGGGCTTCACAGATGGCAGAAGAGTCGGCCAGAAGGGAACTTCAGAGTATTAGGTTATATTTGCATATATATATTTTAACTTTTTCATTTTGAAATAATTTTAGAGCTAACAAAACATTGTAAAAGTAGTACCCATAAATTCCCATATAATTTTCACCTGGATCTCCAGATACTAACATTTAGATAACTGTATTAATATAAGCAAAGCTAAGAAACTAACTTTAGTATTACCAGGAAATCAAATAAACATTACTCTTATCAAACCTATAGACTTCATTCAAGTTTTACCAGTTGTCCAATGGTACTGATGTCGTTTTCTGGTCCAAGAGCGAATCCAGAATCTTTCTTTGCTTTAGTCTTTTTTAATCATGAATATATTAATATTTTTGAAGAGAACTGGCTAGTTATTTTATATAGTATCCCTCATTGTGAGTTTGTCTTACCTCATTTATGATTAAATTCATGTTATACATTTTCAGCAAAAATTAACTCCAGTCACATGTCCTTATGCATCAGATCAGGAGGTGCATGATTTGCCCCCTTACTGGTTATGTTAACTGTGATCCCTTGGTTAAGGTGGTGTCTGCCAGGTTTTCCCACTATAAAATGACTATTTTTTCCTCTTTGTAAAATGTAATTATGTTATGGGGAGATATTTGGAGACTATATAAATAGTCTCATTATATTTTCTCTTTTCTCATCACACAGTCTTCCACTAATTTCGTATCCTTTGGCCAAACCTGAGACAGTTCGAACAGCAAAATAAATATTGAACTTGATTTACTATTTTAATCATTTTTAAGCATACAGTTCAGTGTTCTTTCAAACTAGGATCTTCGTTTATTGAGTAACTGTTCTCTATCTTCTACCTCATTAATTCTGCTTTCATCGTTACTCCTTTGGTTTTTCTTTTTGCCTTCAAAAGGTTATTTATAGTTTTATTGGTATCTGTTGTACATAAAATAAAATTCATTTAAATGACGTGCAGCTTGATGAGTTTTGGTTGTTTTATGTAGTTGTATAATTACCACCACAATGAAAACATAGAACAGTTTTGTCACCCTAAAAGTTTCCCTATGTCTCTGCATTTGTCGTCTCTCCAGATCCCCACCCATAGGCAACCCCTGATTTATCCATGCATGTATCAGTAGTTCATTCCTTTCTGTTGCTGATTAGTGTTCTGTTGTATGGATGTAATATAAATTGTTTATCCATTCTCCTTCTGATGGACAAATATTTGGGTTGTTGTTAGTTTGGGCCTTTTATAAATGTGCTGCTATTAACATTCATGTACAAATCTTTGTGTGGACGTATTTTTATTTCTCTTGGTTAAATATCTAGGAATGATATTGCTGAGTTGTGCTGAGTTAAATTTTAATTTTATAACATATAGTAATACATTGTACAAAGTGGTAGTACTATCTTCTCACTCCTAGTAGCCTTGTGTGAGAGTTCCATTCATTTCACACATCTTACTGCCACTTTCTATCCGAGTCTTTTTAACTTAACAATTGTAGTGGATGCATAATAATAATATGTCACTATGGGCTTAATTTGATTTTTTTTTATGGCTAGTGGTGTTTAGCATCTTTAAATGTACTTCTGTGAAGTGTCTGTTCAAATATTTTGCCTATTTTTAAAATTGGGAAGTTAGCTTCTGTTGCCTTGTAACAGTGCTTTATATGTCCTGCAAACAAGCCCTTTGTCAGATACATGTTTTACAGATATTTTCTCCCAGTCTCGTGGCTTGCTTTGTTGTTTATTGTGTCTCTCAAAAGTGAAATTTTTTAATTCTGATGAAATTCACTTTATAAATGTTTTGTTTGTGATTTGGTGTTCTGTTTAAGAAAACTTTGCCTAATCCAACTTCATAAAGATACCTTTTATGTATTCTTCTAAAAGATAAATACTTTGACTCTTACATTTCAGTTTTATGGTCCAATTCATGTTAGTTTTTGTATAGTGTGAGGTGATTGAAGACATTCATTCCTTATTTCTATATTGGTATTCAGTTACTCCAGTACCATTTGTTGAAGACAGTCTTTTATGCCTTGAATTATTTTCGTACCTTTGTTGAGAATCAGTTGACCATATTAGTAATATCTGTGTCTGAACTCTGTTCTGTTCCCTCAATTTGCATGTCTGTCTTGATATCAGTATTACATTGTCTTGACTACTGTAGCTTTATAATAAGTTTGATTCAGGTAATGCAAGTCCTCTACCTTGTTCTTTTTTTCAAGATTGTTTTGGTTTTTCTAGGTCCTTTGCCTTTCCACATGAATTTTAAAATCAGCTTATCACCTTTTTTCAAAAGGCTTGTTATGATTTTTATTGGGATTACACTGAATCTGTACATACTAGGAATGATATTGCTGAGTTGTGCTGAGTTAAATTTTAATTTTATAACATATAGTAATACATTGTACAAAGTGGTAGTACTATCTTCTCACTCCTAGTAGCCTTGTGTGAGAGTTCCATTCATTTCACACATCTTACTGCCACTTTCTATCCGAGTCTTTTTAACTTAACAATTGTAGTGGATGCATAATAATAATATGTCACTATGGGCTTAATTTGATTTTTTTTTATGGCTAGTGGTGTTTAGCATCTTTAAATGTACTTCTGTGAAGTGTCTGTTCAAATATTTTGCCTATTTTTAAAATTGGGAAGTTAGCTTCTGTTGCCTTGTAACAGTGCTTTATATGTCCTGCAAACAAGCCCTTTGTCAGATACATGTTTTACAGATATTTTCTCCCAGTCTCGTGGCTTGCTTTGTTGTTTATTGTGTCTCTCAAAAGTGAAATTTTTTAATTCTGATGAAATTCACTTTATAAATGTTTTGTTTGTGATTTGGTGTTCTGTTTAAGAAAACTTTGCCTAATCCAACTTCATAAAGATACCTTTTATGTATTCTTCTAAAAGATAAATACTTTGACTCTTACATTTCAGTTTTATGGTCCAATTCATGTTAGTTTTTGTATAGTGTGAGGTGATTGAAGACATTCATTCCTTATTTCTATATTGGTATTCAGTTACTCCAGTACCATTTGTTGAAGACAGTCTTTTATGCCTTGAATTATTTTCGTACCTTTGTTGAGAATCAGTTGACCATATTAGTAATATCTGTGTCTGAACTCTGTTCTGTTCCCTCAATTTGCATGTCTGTCTTGATATCAGTATTACATTGTCTTGACTACTGTAGCTTTATAATAAGTTTGATTCAGGTAATGCAAGTCCTCTACCTTGTTCTTTTTTTCAAGATTGTTTTGGTTTTTCTAGGTCCTTTGCCTTTCCACATGAATTTTAAAATCAGCTTATCACCTTTTTTCAAAAGGCTTGTTATGATTTTTATTGGGATTACACTGAATCTGTACATTGTCATCTCAGCAATATTGAGTCTATCTAATCCATGTATATGGCATATCTCTCCATTTTTTTAGGTCTTCGTTAATTTCCATCATCAAAGTTTTATAGTTTTCGTTGTATATATCATGCTCGCCTTGTGTTATATTTTATTCCTAAGCATTTTTATGTGATAAGAGATGGAGTTATTATTTTACTTATTAAAGTATCATTGATGTACAATCTTATAATGGTTCCACATACACAAAACAGTGGTTCTGTATTCACCTGTATTATCAAGTCCTCACTCACTCCAGTGCAGTCACTTTCCATCAACATAGTAAGAGGTTACAGAGTCATTAACTCTGTTCTCTGGGCTGTACTACTGTTTCCATGACCAACCTATATTGTGGTCACGAACTATTGTGCCCCTTAATTCCCTTCCTCCCTTCCCAAACAGCACATCCCCTTTGGTAAACACTAGTCCCTTCTCTGTTTCTATGAGTCTACTGCTATTTTGTTCCTTCTGTTTTGCTTTGTTTTTATACTCCACAAATGAGTGAAGTCATTTGACATTTGTCTTCTCTGCCTGGCTTATTTCACTGAGTCTAATACTCGCTAGATCCATCCATGTTGTTGCAAATGGAAAGACTTCTTTTGTTTCTGTGGCTGAATAATATTCCACTGTGTATATGTACCACATCTTCTTTATCCATTCATCTATTGATAGATATTTAGGTTGCTCCCATATCTTGTCTATTGTAAATAGTGCAGCAATAAACATAGGAGTGCATATGTCTTTTTGAATCAGGAATCTTATTCAGGTAAATTCCTAGTAGTGGAATTCCTGGGTCAAATGGTATATCTATTTTTAATTTTTTGAGGAACCTTTATACCACTTTCCACAACGGTTGCACCAATATATATTCCCACCAAAAGGATAGGAAGGAGGGTTCCCCTTACTTTGCATCCTTGTCAGCATTTGTTCTTTCTTTTATTTTGGATATTGGCCATTCTAACTGGTGTGAGGTGATACCTCATTGTGGTTTTAATTTGCATTTCCCTAATGATTAGTGATGTGGAGCATCTTTTCGTGTGCATGTTGGCCATCTGTATTTCTTCTTTGGAGAAGTATCTATTCAGATCCTCTGCCCATTTTTTAATCAGGTTATTTGTTTTTTTGGTGTTGAGGCCTATGATGAGTTCTTTATGTATTTTGGATGTTAACCCTTTATCAGGTAGATTGTTTATGAATATATTCTCCCATACTGTAAGATGCCTTTTTGTTCTTCTGATGACGTCATTTGCTATACAGAATCTTTTTAGTTTGATGTAGTCTCATTTGTTTGTTTTTAATTTTGTTTCCCTTGCCTGAGGAGATATGTTCAGGAAAAAGTTGTTCATGTTTATTTTCAGGAGATTTTTGCCTGTTTTCTTCTAAGAGTTTTATGGTTTCATAACTTACGTTCAGGTCTTTGATCCATTTCAAGTTTACTTTGTCTATAGAGTTACTGTAATCCAGTTTCATTCTCTTATATGTAGCTGTCTAGTTTTGCCAACACCAGTTGTTGAAGAGGCTGTCTTTCCCCATTGTATATTCATGGCTCCTTTATCATATATTAACTGACCATATATGCTTGGGTTTATATCTGGCTCTATTCTGTTCCATTGATCTATGGGTCTGCTCTTGTGCCGGTACCACATTGTTTTGATTACTGTGGCTTTGTAGTAGAGCTTCAAGTCAGGGAGTGTAATCCCCCCAGCTTTGTTCTTCTTG